CGCGCAGTTGTGTCCCGGGAAGAATGGAACGAGGAGCACGACGCAGGCGGGCGGGCCGTGCAGGTGTCTCGGGGATGATGGGACCGAGGAGCACGACGCAGGCGGGCAGGCCGCGCGGCCGTCTATGACCGAGGGATATGGCAAAAGCCGGGGGACTCGATTCAGGCGGGCAGGCCACGCTGAGGTGAACTCGGCGGTGTAGCCGAGGGACACCGCTCAGGCGGGCAGGCCGCACTGAGGCGAACTCGGCAGCATATGCCCGAGAAGCTCGGCGCAGGCAGGCTACGACCGAGGGACGTAACCCAGGTGGGCAAGCCGCCCTGAGATTGGACTCGGCAGTGCATGGCCGAGGAGCTCAGCGCAAGCAGGCTGGCCGCGCAGGCGTGTCTCGGAGAGTATGGAGCCGAGGGGCACGACGCAGGCGGGCTGGCTGCGCTGGTGTGTCTCGGGAACATGGAGCCAAGGAGCACGACGCAGGCGGGCTGGCCGCGCAGGTGTGGTCTCGGGCATCATGCTGTCGAGGAGCACGACGCAGGCGAGCAGACCGCGCAGGCGTGGTCGCGAGGGCAATGCGGCCGAGTAGCAAGACGTAGGCAGGCAGGACGCGCAGGCGTGGTCTCGGGCACCATGCGGCCGAGTAGCACGACACAGGCGGGCAGGCCGCGCCGAGGTGGGCTCAGCCGTCTATGGTCGAGGGATATGACAAAAGCCGGGGAACTCGATTCAGGCGGGCAGGCCGCGCTGAGGTGAACTCAGCGGTGTGGCCGAGGGACACCGCTCAGGCGGGCAGGCCGCGCTGAGGTGAACTCGGCAGCGTATGACCGAGAAGCTCGACGTAGGCAGGCTGCGGTCGAGGGACGTGACCCAAGTGGGCAAGTCGCCCTAAGATTGACTCGGCAGTGCATGGACAAGGAGCTCGGCGCAAGCAGGCTGGCCGTGTAGGCGTGTCTCGGAGAGTATGGAGCCGATGGGCACGACGCGGGCGGGCTGGCCGCGCTGGTGTGTCTCGGGAACATGGAGCCAAGGAGCACGACGCAGGCGGGCTGGTCGCGCAGGTGTGTCTCGGGGATGATGGGACCGAGGAGCACGACGCAGGCGGGCAGGCCGCGTAGGTGTTGTTTCGGGCATAATGCTGTCGAGGAGCACGACGCAGGCGAGCAAACTGCGCAGGCGTGGTCGCGAGGGTCATGCGGCCGAGTAGCACGACGCAGGCGGGCAGGACGCGCAGGCGTGGTCTCGGGCACCATGCGGCCGAGTAGCACAACACAGGCAGGCAGGCCGCGCCGAGGTGGACTCGGGCAGTCTACGACCGAGCCGTGCGAATGCAAAAAAGAGGGGGGTTAGGCCGAAGCTAACCGTGAGCCAAGAGGCAGTCAGGTAAACATGGAGCCTTCTCTTGGAAGAGACTGAAGCAAGGGCTAGATTCCTTGCACGAAGATTACACCGGATAGCAACCGCGGGTGCTTGACCGTTGCTACGGGGCCCGCCGCCCAGAGTCACTCCTCTTCCTTGCGGTCACCCAAGTTTCCGCCGCGATGTACCGGTTAGCTCGCTGGAGCATATCTGGTACTATGGTGAGGGGTCGCTCTACGAGGGACCAGCAGAATCTGGAAGGTCACAAGCCTACCATAAACACCTACACTAACAAAGAGGGGTGAGTGTCCGGTAAGCTCCGGATTCGCGTGGCAAAGCGATCCACGAAATGTGAGAGGGGCTCGTCCTCTCTTTGTTTGAGTCCGAGGAGCAGTGCCGCGGAGGGCTTTGGCCGGGCATGGGCTACGAAGTGGAGCTCGAAGTCCTTAGCGAGTTGGCCGTAGGAAGTGATCGTTCCGGTCTTCAGGCCGCTGTACCATGTGCGGGCCGGACCCCTCAGGGTCGCGGGAAACGCCTTGCACATTAAAGCGTCAGACGTTCCGTACAGTGCCAATTGGGCACGGAAAGCGACGACATGGTCCGCTGGGTCAGTGGAGCTGTCATATGCGTCCAAAGAAGGGAGCTGAAAGTTTGGGGGAACCGCGTGATCTCGTATCTCTGGTGCGAACGGGGATCCTCGATATGTGTCCATCCCGAGCTCTCCCTTTGAGTTGCAAAACTCCTTCTCTAATTCGTCGAGCTACTGACTAAGAAAGCATAGCTGGGCTCGCAGGGAGTCCGTTGACTCCGGAGATAATACTTCGGGCTCCGGGGGGCCGCTTGGGTCTGCCATCACTGGATCCCCGAGTGGGGTCGGTCGGACCCGAGGCGAAGTGGGAGGCTTAGGAAGCGTCATGTGGGCCCAGGCGGGCGGCTCTTATTGCCGTAGCGGCTGAGTCATAAGCGTGGGTGTCGGTTGGGAGACGAGCGGGATGATGGTTTGCAACATATCTGTCAGAGCTCGGACTTGACGAGCGAGGTCGTGAAAGGCCTCGGATGACACCGGCGAGGGGACGCTTGGAGCGCCCTCAGGCGGAAGCAGATCCGGGTTGTCGAATGAACGCCAGTAGCGTTCCGAAGTCGCGGAGAGGTCGTCAGCCTGCGGCCCGTCACGCAATGGACGCACGGCCTACGCCCCTGCATAGAACGATCCCTCGGCAGGGAGTTCGTCGGGATCAGTCTAAGGATCCCTCAACATTCGGGCCCTCCTTCTAGCGCCAAAATGATGCGGGGGGCATTTGTTTAAGCCGTGGCCTCGGGGCCGTCGCGGCTCGGTTCGGGGGTCCGGATGTCGGGGATCTCGAGCGGTGTCCTTCGAGGTCTCCCGGTGGCCTGTCTCAATGGTCCGGTCGGGACGTCGCGTCGGGGGGAGTGCGTCGCCGCAGCGCCGGGAAGAGTCGACCCCGTCTTGCACCTGCACACAGGTCGGGCCGGGAGCTCGGCCCGACCCCTCCGACGATCAAGTCAGTGATGTGGAGGGGGTTTAGGAGGAGGAAAATACCTCCATATAAGTGTTGTGTCTGTGTTTTCTCCTCTCCCTCGTTCGTCTAGAACTCTGGGGTATTTATAGATGAGTTTGATGTTACCTGATGTGGCTGCCTGCAGGAGCAGGACCGTACCTCCGATGGCGTCTGACATTGCCACTGGGGTTGCATGGAGAACCGACTGCCGCAGGGTATGGGCGAGCCTCGGTCGACGTCCTCCTCTGCCTCGACTGAGCGCGCGGGGTCAGACGGTGGAGTCGTTGACTGGGAGCGGGTGACGCTGGCGCATATCAAGTCGGCGTTAATGCCCATTTCCTAGGGCAGTGTGTTGTCCAGGCATGGCTGACATCAGGGCGTGTCATGTTGCCATTTTTACCCTTATCAACAGCCTCCTTCTCCTCCCTACTACGTCGGCGTCTTCTCCGACGCTGCAACTCCATCGAATACTGCTCTCTGCCCCAAGCGCTCATCTCTGCACCGAGCGCCGCGTTGGCCGCCTCGCCCTCGGCGCCCACCGCACCTGCTCCTCCCATTTTTTCGCTTTAGGCCTTGGCACCTCTGCCTCGTCGACCGCCGCTCCCTCCTGCAGCCATCAACACAGCGCTCCCCTTCTTCTCACATAGTGCTCTCAGAACCGCTTCCCTTCGTCGCCGTCCGACGAAGGCAGTCCCTCATCTCTGCTAATCTGCCGTTGTCGGTTTTCTCCGAGCAACCTCGTCTCGGCGAAGTGCCCGCCCGTTCTTCCTCACTGGCGAAGGTGCTCTATGTCGGCGAAGCAGTTCCTCTTCACCGGCAAAGTCCCCCCTTCCCTGTTGGCCGGCGATCCGGGACTTAGATCTGCCGCTGCGAGTTCCTCTTCGGCGAGCGGTGTTGACCTCGGTTGTTTAGCATCAAGGCGCAGTGTCCGTGGAACTCCGGCGAGGCTCTCCCTCTTCTTCCTCACCAACCGCCGCACCTTGCCGATCACTGCTCCGAGCGGAATAAAATCATCTCTCACTGCCGTTGGCGGCAACAACAGCGTCCTCTCCGAACTGCTACGCTGCCCTCAGCGTCCCTTCCTCCGCTTCCTCCAGCGGAGCTCCGGCGGAGTTCCTGCCCTCCAGCTTTCAGACAGCCGGAGGCCCGCCGCCTCCTCTCGGCTGTTGCACAGAAGCAGGCTGAGCACCCGCCACCTCCTCTCAGCCTCCTCGTCCTCGGGGGTCGCCAACTGTGGTCGCCCCTCCGTTTGCCATCTGCCTGTCAACTTCCTCGCAAGCCAGCGGCCCATCGCCGTTGCTATTTTGCCGGCGGACCCTCGCCGCTGCTACTCTGCCAGCGGACCCACTGTGGTCGCCTCTCTACCGGCTGATCTATTATCCAATTCTCGACAGTGCGATCTTCCTCGGCCGAAGTTGAAGTAATTGAGATTGATATAGGCAGTTGTCTCCTCTGCCTCCTTTAGATCGGTGCATATTCTGATCAGTTTCTTACGTACAATTAAAATATTTTAATTATATTTAATTTTACGATATATGATAAAAAAAATCATGATGAAAACATTCCTGAAAATCTAATATTTGAGAATCTCTCTCCCTCATCGTAATGTATTCCTCAATTAATTTAGCGGCATTATGAGGATAAAAAGAACTGTCCTATAATTTATGATTCGAAATGAGATGTATACTAGAAAAGTACGTTGGTTTACAGACGCAATCCGATGACTGGGAGAAAGATTGGGCACAGAACATACTGTAAGGTAAACTAAACTACACGTACGAGCACACATGACGCCCTCTTATTTCCGGTTTGCCCACAGAACAAGGAGAGAGAATTAAATTCTATGGGGAAGGAATGGGCTTCATTTCTTCCTTGATAGCTGCAACAAGCTTGTTATAAGCCTCTCCCCATGCCGCCTTCATCTCAGGGCACCACATGTCCGGCACCGCCTCCTTTATTGTGTCCAACAAAGCAAACCTCGTAACCTGCACCATGCATTAAACAAAAGTTGCAGTCATCGGTTTGCACTGAACCTTGTTTGACTTGTTGTTTGCTGAACTTTAATGTATGTCATTGAATTTATGAGCAAATGATCTGAGATCACAAAAACTGCTAGCAGAATCTATTACCTCAAAGTGTTCATTTACTACACCGTATTTGAAATGGCTTGCACCGAGCCTCTTAAGAGTCGTCTCCTTCACCGTGACCTTCCCGGCTTTCCGCAGTTGCACCGCGGATTCGCATGTCTGAGGAGAATACGAAAGTTTGAGCAACGGCTTTCTGCAGATGCATGACAATGTATGCGTACATAAAGGAAGAAAGATGAGAGGTACCATGACGAAGACGGACATGGCGTGGCGCTTGAGCTTTGGGTTCTTGTCCAATGGCACATCGGAGTCACGTAGGAAGGAGAAGAGTCGAGTTGCTGACGGGGCAATCTCGAAGATCCTGAGAATAAGACATGCTCAATGACCAGCAACACGGTTGGGGTCCATTGGCCACAGAGCGAGGAATAGTCGTAGTACCTCAAGAACAACTTTAGCCCCAGGTTGGCTGAGTCCTTCTTCATCACGTTCCATGATTTCAGCACAAGCGCCTCCTGCTCTTCCGTGAAGACTTCGGCAGCACCGGAATGAGCCATCTCTTCTATTCTGGATCGCTTTCCTCGATTAGCTTCGCTCGTTGGAGAACCGCAAGTCGCTGACGTTGTTGGTGGTCGATGGTACAGGGACCAAGAGAGGGCTTGTTATATATAGCATGACGCTGAGGCACCGTTGACGACCTTTGAGGCACGCGAAGAGGCAATCCTCCCAATTCAATTCACTCACGCCGGGGAAACAGCAGGCTCAAATACCGTGTGCGGCCACCAGGAGGTTTGTGCTCGTCTGTGGGCGCGAGGAACTCTGAGAAGCTGCTTCGTGCTCTCATCGGATGTACATCGACGGGTTGGAAAGATTGACTCGACACTCATGTCTTTATCTACTGAGAAAAGACACAACGGAGATGAGAGCGATTGTAGGTGTTCCAAAAGGATATTATAAATACAGTTCATCTGTACATATCTCCACTGAATAGAAATGCTACCCTTTTTTTTTCTTAGATTAATACCCATATTTTATTAATCATACAACACACGCATTAATATCTTTGAAAACAGATTAGAGAGTTTGATCGCATATCTTCCGTAACTTATATTCTGATTTTTTTTCTTCTAAAATTATTATTATTTATCTTTTATGCTCTTCGATGTATAGGTGTCCAATTAACAAAATTTCTCAATTTATAATCTAAAATATAAATCTAATTAATAAGAATTAAAGAGAATTCAAAACCATACCTCATATAATTTTTAGATTCATCTGATCTCAAATCCAATCCACCATTTTTTTTTTTTGCTTTCCTCTGGTCCATGTCACTTGCACCAACCCTTTTTTTTACTCTTCTTTCCCTTCTCCTTTCCTTCTTTTCCTCTCCTTCTTCCATTCTTTTTGTTCTCTTTGTTTTTTATCCTCTCTGGTCTCACGACCGATCCTCTACTTTTTCTTCTTCTTTCCTTTCTCTTTTCCTTCTTCTTCTTCTCTTCTCCGCCTCTTCTCCCTTTCTTTTTTACCCTCTATTCATCTTCTTCTCTTCTTTATTGTTTCTATCTTCCTTCTGCTCCTTTCTCACCCGAAGCCCCTCTCAAGAGAAGGGAGAGGCGGTGCGGAAGAAAATTTTCTTTTTTCCTTTTTTCTTTTTGACTTTGTTACATTTTAATTCCTGTAATATTTATATTTACAATTAGATTCTTAAATTAAATATTAAACATGAGATGTTGCATAAGGTCATTATTATATATATACATACTGGCGAGATTTTTGAAATCTTTTTTATCATGACGGCCTTCTTTCCTATAATTAATAAATACTTTTGTTCCAAATTGCACCTTCAATGGCTAAAAGACTTATTTTTAATTGACGTTATGCATCTTTTTCTTGTGATATCCGCCGCAGACCACCCTTTGCTGAAACCAAGTTTGACTTTTGTTCTCAACATGCATTTGGCCGCTTGACTTGTTAATTGGCCTTCTATGCCCTTCGCACTCGATTTTCTCAACGACCACATTCTCTCTCTCTCTCTCTCTCTCTCTCTCCAAAAGACATGACTTGGCTGAGCTACGAACTATTTGGTGTCTGTCCATTAGGTGGCGGCGAAAACCAAGCCGCAGACAGAACCAAATGCATGGAATAAGTCAACGTACTAATTTGCTAAGTAAAAATTTGATTGTACATGTTGAATAGTAAGTTGAAGTCAATCTGAGGTCGACGTATTGTGCTCGTCCAAAACACCTGAATTTGGTAATTCTAAAAGGTATAATTTGTTTTGATACATATATATTTTTTAGAACACTAGTTTTCTCGAAGATTATACCTCAAGAGCTCGTCAAGCATTATACCCCCCTAAGATGACTTTTCAACCAAACGTACGAGTCCGATGAGAAAGAGGAGTAAAAAATAGTTGAGCAGTCACCAAATTCTGCTCCAATATTAGGTGGACAGTTGGTGGTGAAATGCATCACCATGCTTTGGCAAAGGCAGCTTAGCAGAAGACAAAGCGAAGATCGATCAGCATCCCTTTTGAAATATCCTTTGGTTGCCTTCTTCTCATGTTCTTAAAGTGATGGCATTACGTGAGGCAAACATATGACCAACAGCTCCTTTTGGGAGAGACAACCCCGACGCATATTTTACCTGACAGAGGAGACCAGCTGGCCGTCCGATCCGACGGATGACACGAAGATTCATGAAACGGACGGTGCAGGATTCATGACGGTGAGCACACGTACATTGTGGTGCTCGTGCATGGAGCTCAACCGTCACCGACTTGAACTGCAGAATTCACGCAGGTCGCGCTGCAGGGAGAGGTGTCGCCCAAACGAGAAAGCCATTACCACAGCCATGCACCTCAACGTAAAGCCTATCTCCCCACGTCAGGCTCATCCGTTCTTAGTATGCGAACGCCCCTCCGAAGGATGCATCTCGGTGAACCTCCATTCTCGTGAGATGCTTGAGACACAGCTTAAGTATCCAGGAAGGAAGACATTAGGTGACCAGAAAGGAGAACTATCCCAATGCACACAAGAAGGGCATAGCAAATGGAGCGATGTGTAAGTTTGGCATTTAATTCAACGTGAAGCAATGAATATGATCTATCATAAGGCAATTAAGGTTTAGTTGGATGATCAAATATTCGGGAACAAATACCTCAATCTTGCTTTCTTGGAGGCTTAAACTTATCATATCTCAAGAAAAGTCACTCCAAATCGGATACTCTCCTTGTCAGGTAAACCTTCCACGGATCGTCCAAGACATATTGGACAAATTTCAAATTGAGAAGAGACAATAGACCCCAAATCGTGACAAACTCTACCAATTTGCACCAGAAGAAATTTTATAGGGAGCTCTCTATAAAACACCGAGTGGGGTGCCAATTGTCACATCATGCACGACGTGTGGAGATCTTTTAGCGGATCTTCACAACATACTTTGAGATTCGTGAAGGACACACTTACATCCCAACCACATTTACCTGAGCAATCAGCTACCGGCAACGGACTCACGACTCGCTGTGCCTCGTCATGGCGGCTTTCCTGCTGAAATTGTTCCTCCTCGGCCTCGGAACATTCCTCTTCTCAGGTAAGCGCCTGATTAACCCACAAGTTTAAGCATTTCCGCGCAAAGCGCCTACTTCTTCTTTTATCTGTTAAATTGAAGCAGGGGCGTTACGGGCACCGGCGGCGGCGGGTGCTGGCACCGCCTTCATCCTCGAGAACAATTGTCCGTATACCGTATGGCCCGGCGCATTGTCCGGCAACGGCGCCGTCCTCCTTGGTAATGGCAGCTTCGAGCTCCCACCCAACGCCACCAGCTCCTTCTCCGGCCCACCTGGCTGGTCCGGCCGCTTCTGGGCCCGTACCAGCTGCCTATTCGACTCCTCCTCTGCCAACGGGTCCTGCGCCACCGGTGACTGCGGTGGGGCCCTCCGCTGCTCTATCGGTGGCGCCCCGCCGGTAAGTCTCGCCGAGTTCACCCTCGGCGGCGGTGACGGCGCCAAGGACTTTTACGACGTGAGCTTGGTCGACGGCTACAACGTTGGCATCGGGGTGCGCCCCTCCGGGGCGGCCGTGGGGGGCAGCTGCCGGTACGCGGGGTGCGTGGCGGACGTGAACGCGCGGTGCCCGGCGGAGCTGCGGGTGGCGTCGGAGTCCGGGGAGACGATGGCGTGCCGGAGCGCGTGCGAGGCGTTCGGATCCCCAGAGTACTGTTGCACGGGAGCCCACGGCTCCCCGACGACGTGCGGGCCGACGCGCTACTCGCAGCTCTTCAAGGCGGCGTGCCCGGCGGCGTACAGCTACGCCTACGACGACGCCACGAGCACGTTCACGTGCGCCTCGGGCGCCGCAGACTACACCATTACCTTCTGCCCCTCCACCAGTTAGCTCTGTGGCGAAGGCACCGAGTTTAATACACCTGTAGTTAGGACGTGACCTAAATAAAGAAAGAAAATTAATGTTTATCGATATATGCCCATTTTAAATCTCGTTATATTATTATTACATCATCATCGTAGCGTAATTACACTAATCATCAATCGTCGGTTCTACGCTCGCTCCTACCACGTGCAGCGTCATCCGTCGCCATCTACCTTCCCCTTCCCCTCCCTTCCTCCTCCTCCTCCCCCGATCGCATCCGCGGCTTTGCTCGCCTCGCCGTCCACCACTCCCCGTCTTCATCGCCATCTTCAATCCCTCGTCGCCTGTCTTTCTCATCCTTGCCGCGGCCAGCAACAGCTATCCGCAGCCAATTCTCCGTTTTGTGTCGCGAGTGACCAACTCGTGGTCATGAATGTCGAGGGAAAACGCGACAACCTCGTCGCGAATAGCGAGGACGAGAGGGCGGATCCCGTCGCTAGGTACCGTGGTGCGTCACCCACGAGGCCATCTCCCATCGCTACGCCATCGATTCAGCCACTACTCGCCATCCGAAGCGGCCCTTTCGTCGCAACCCTCACCTGCGACACCCGTGCGATCGTCGCCCATGGCAGGCCACCAGCGAGAAGGGGCGGGCGGCTAGGGAGGTGGGGGAAGGGAGGACGGACGACACCATTCGCGGTGAGAGCAGGGGCGACGGAGGGGACTCGTGGAGGACAGAGGGTAGTTTCATCAATTTAATATGAAAGATGTCCCACATAAAAATTATTTACAGGGCATCATTTTGTAAAAGCTCAATTGTGAGAATTTTTCTAGATAAAATATAATATCATTATTATTATTATTTAAGAAATGGAAGCGAAGATTGCATTAACGTACTGTCTCTCGACATTATAGCATTAATAATGGAAGTGTTGCTTAAATAATATCAGGAGGAACGTAATCTGACTCCCATACAATATTACATTTATTGATCATTGCTTTAAAATTACAATATTAAATTATGTAGTAATTATTGACTGGCATTACATCGTCTGTTCAAAGAGGAAGTGACACCGATACAAACCTTACAGCAAATGAATGTGAACGGTATCACAAGCTGTCTGCCTGACCATCAGCTTCAACGGATTTAATCTTCCGGCACACTCGAGCCTGATCATAGACTTCTCCAGGTCGACAATAATAGCCCTGTTTAGGAGCACAGTGGTCATCAGTGGAGCAAATGCACAACCCCTCCAATGCGCAACCATTTCCCTGCACCACAACTTCCTTCCCACGCAGTCCCAGCACCGCATCGGTCCAATCTGAAGAGAACAATCCATTGCTGTCATATTTTTGCATGGCACTCACAAACTTGTCCAGCTTGGCCCCCAACTTGTTCTTGATATTGAGGAAGCCGACGTTTCTATTCTTCCCCCAGTGGGGCAACCCATTGTACTTGAACAAGGCCAACTGTTCGATCTCTTCGATCACATCCTCGTAGAGTCGCGGCCGTTTTGGATCCTTGGAACGATAGTAAGTGATGTCGATGTCCACCACGTCGTCGGTTTTGCCAAGATAGGCTGTGGAGCTGCGGACGAAGCGCATGAAGAAGCCCAAGTACAGCTCGGTGCCGCAGAGTGCGTTGGGGTGGGCGTCGCGGAGCTTCTTGACGTCGGCGATGAAGTCAGCGATGGTGGTGAAGGGGATGCTTATCGCGGATTGGTGGTAGAAGAGCCCCGCAAAACGAGGGTCCCATCCACAAGCCGTGAGAAGTTTGTCTTCTGCACTCCGTAGGCATGAACCTGGAGAGAAGATGACTCAGACTAAATAATTCAGGTGTTACATGTGTCATTATATACATTCCTGGAATAATTTGAGGACCTACCAGCGGATTGCATGTCGCTTTGGTTTCCAACGACCGGATAGCCGGTGAAATCTAACAAGCCGCCATCATTGTTCTTAAGGCCCATGCCGGTCGCAATCAGAGTATCCGCTTGCAATCTGGACAGCACGCATTTGCCTTCGGCATTTCCTGTTAGTTCCGATAGTTCCTCTGCAGTCATAAACACAAACACATCGTAGAGGACAAGAGATGCCTTGTTAGTATAAATCAAGTACGATACTACTCGAACACTACATCAAGATTGTCAAGCAAAATAAAAGCTGCAATTTATAACACCTGAAGCACGTGTAGAGGCTATGACAAGGGTGGGCTGCGCTCGGAACCCTAAGAAGTTGTTTACACCCTTTCCTTTGGTGGTGATGGGGACCTTGATATCATCTCGATACACCACTCTGCCTTGTGATGGATACCAGATGATGTCTCCATAGTGAGTAGTGACAGCGTACGAGGAGATGGTTTGCTCGAAGCCAACGTCGCTTACGACCCTGTTGGTGATGGATCGCTTGAACATCGGCTCAAGTTGGAGGGTGACCTGCGCGATCGGTTCAAGTAATTCTTAGGTTACTTATAATGAAGCAGCAGAACAAAAGCTTACTTGTATTGCAAACCAACTCTTTTCAGCTATTCAGGCAACAAGATTGAAACAAGAACTACTACTACTGACATCCCCTATCGTCCTTCAACCTAATAATTGTTACTGAGGCTTTTAAGGCAATGGCGGGCCCGGTCGTAAGCTCTGCAAGGCAAGGCAGCGTAGACCTGCCTGCCTCTTGCCTTGCGCGAGGCTCCATATGTGAAGGAAGGGGCACTCTCATTTACCCCGAGTCATCATCAACGTCACTGTAGCTGTTCTTCCAAGAAAAAAACTCTACATCTATAAGATATAACTAGATGGAACAACCATAGATGTAAAATGATGGCTTCAAATCATGCCTTCACTCTCATTTAAGTTTGCTTTTTCTCTGATCTTTGTCCATGTGGGTTTGAATGTGCTCATATGTTCCATAACACTCAACTGTGCTATGTAGTTACTACAAACTAGGAGGGAAGGTACATGGAATCAATAGAACGATTCAAACGTTTGCATTAGCCCATTTTCAAAAAAGGAATACAAGCAAAGCAAGAAAAGAAGGGAAGATTAAAACTAAAGTCCATTGGGATCATCAACTGCCAATTATTTTACATAACTTTATATATTGGAGGAAAAGAACAAGTCTTCCTTCGCAAAGTGATTTGACTGAAAACAAGTTTTTTTTTGTCTCGACATTTTGCTGACGTAGTGCAAACAAAGTCTTGATACTAACAATAGAATGAACAATTAAATATAGAGTTGCACCTAATTAGCATCGAGACGTAGCAAGTCATGTACTCAGTTTATGAAAGTACTCGACGTGGTTGGAAGAAACACCGTGAAGAACTAAGATGAGTTATCACATGGATCTCAAACCGTGTAAAGAACAAAGAATAACAAGTAGGTCACCGCATATATACCTGAGAAATAACTCCAAGAACACCGAGAGAAACCTTGGCAGCCAAGAGATCAGGATCGTCCTCACCAAGATTAACGATCTTGGCGTAGGATCCGTTCACCGGGACCGGACTTGGAACCACCAGCCTCATCCCTACCACATATTCGTGCACCGCCGAGCCTTTCCCGAACACCGAGCTCCCGTGTGAGCCGGTGCTCAGCAGCCCGCCCAGCGTCACCCCTTGCCAATACGGCGAGTGGGGCAGCGCCAGGCCACGGGCGGCCGCCGCGTCAAGGAGCGCCCTAAGTGTGATCCCTGCCTCGAACGTCATCCGCGAGGTGGCCAAGTCCACGCTCACCGATCTGTTGAGGCGCTGGGTACTGATTACCAGGCCCTGGCCGCTCGGCCCGCCGGGGCACGACAGCTTGGGGATGCTGTGTGAGTACACCGTGACCGCCTTCACGTGCTGCTGCTTCACGGTGGCGTCGGAGACAGCTAACAGGAGCTCCTGTTCGTTCGAAGGGTACGCGACCGCGGCGACGCGGCAGGTACTGCGATCAGGAAAGGCTCCATAGCCGTTGGTCACGGTGCAGTTAGTGTTGCCAGACCGGCACTGGACAACAGGCCCTGGCGGCGATCCTTGGACGAGGAGAAGCAAGACGGCAAGGCCGGAAACGAACAGGGCAATGTGGGTGGCGGCCATGATGGTTGTCCAGAGTTGATCCGGGCATGTCTGTATATATAGGTGAATTTGTTTACACAGTCAGAAAAAAATTCAGATAAAATAAGGGAGGTAAAGCCCATTGACTTATCAAGAGATTATGCCATCCCGATGAATCTGACGTGTACTTAGACGTGTTGGAATGGCTCATAATTGTTAATGTCTCCGGTTGATGGTCGCAGAACACGCGATGCAAGAACGAGATTATATAATATATTGATAGATGGAGGTAGATGAGTTGGCAATTTTACTTCTACTAGTCTGTGTGGAAACCGTGGATGATGTGCGTGGGAAGACAATGGAAAAGTGGTACCATATCATCCATATCTGATTCATGGACATGCAATTGGAGGAGCTTCCAGTCAAAAGAGTTAGATGCGTACGCAATGCGAACTGTAATGTCATTTACGTCATTCACGTGCTTCAAGTGGAAATTGACTAAAACCAATAAAAATATCAACTTGTGACGCGAGTTTATTATCATTATTTTTACCATACTATGCATTTAAAAGCGATAAGGTTAGTGATGGCTGCGTCAAATGCTGTGGGCGAGGTTGTTTGGTCATGCATCCCTCACGATGGGACTATAAAATTTGGAAGAATCGGTCCAATTATTTGTTATAAATTGTAAGGGTTGATTCATCATGTTTTAATCGTAAGTTTATTCGATGCCACATCATGGAAGGGTTTTGATGGGCAGGAAGATAAGATAGCCAACTCATGGTCCAACTATTATTATTTGATGGACAAATGCACGTAAATGAATGATATCAAATGGACAACTTGATTGATTTAACGACAAAACACAAACCTTGATCGACGTGAGCCGATTAAATACAACCGATATAAAATATTTTTGCGAGGGGCATCGATAATTGTATTGTTTTTAGTGTAATTATACCTTTGTGTGTTCTTATACATAGAGTGATTTTTTTATTTATATATGGAGACTGTAAAATTATTCTCCATGTCTGTTATTTCACCATTAGAGCGACATTGATACATTTTACA